CACACACACACACACACACACACATAAAACATATTAAGGATTGTACATTAACATAAAACTGTTGTCGGAACCAGACTGAATTTCACCAGAGAAAGACACACGCACACACATGAAGAGAGAGAGTGTATGCATAGTATGCATACACTCATACAATGAGAACAGGACAAATCAACAATTGACAACAACTAATTAATATTAAAATCTGTAACATAATGTTTGGAGTTTAGTCTGTTACTGTTGCTATATTTACCATTTCTTCTTGGAGCAACTGTAATCCACATTATTTCCTTAGGGATTAATATTAAAGTATTCTGATTCTGATTGTTTCAGGATACATGACCTGCCATTATCCAACGACACATCTGCTTACCTGTATCTTTTGCTCGTTTCTCCTCCTCTTCTTTTCTATTTTTTCTAAACTGAGCACCTGATGGCTTTGAACTTTTCTTGTCCATCTTCCATTGGTTTTAATTTTGCACTCCAGTATGAACACAAGTCCCCCAACTCGAGGATCACCACAACATAACCTAATAGACCTACGCCTTAGTTCACAGATTCACTTTGTCTAAGGTGTATTTCTGGGATTTCGCACAACCCGGGATTCAAATCATGAATACATAATGGGCTTGGATTTCAAACATTATGAATGAAATGTGCTCTATTTGGAAGCAGCCGCCCCCCTCCCCTGTGTGTGAGACTTTAAATCATCAAACTGTAAATTATAAATTTTAAATTGTTATTGATCCCTTTACCCCGAGTCCTAAAGTGTATATTTATTTTCTTACTGTTCTTATATTTATTGTTTGTTTTCTTGCACTGCTGTAACTGAAGCCTCATCATCCACAGCTTTCCTTTAATAGAAACTAAATTGAGAATAGGTTTTCGTTCTTTTGTGGATTCCTGATATTCTGTATTATGCTCGTGCTAAGAGAGGATTTTGACATTTCATCAAAGCAAACATCTCACCTCACCTCACACTTGACAGCTGCTAAAAACTGTGTTATCTCTGGCCTAGTGTTAAACCCCCTTGACAAACACACTTTCTCCTGCACACACAGAGGGGCCACAGAAGGACAAAGTCCAAGCACAGATCACTTGAACCTTTCCATCGCAGGATTCCAAGGCCATTCCCAGAGGATTAAACAGATCAAACTGGTTGAATTTTATCACCCTGCTGCTCTGCCAGCCTCGGACCAAGCGCTATTTCACCCAGGGATTCCCATTGTCACAGAGATCCAATTCTGGGGTGATTGAATAACACAGCGTGAATTGTGCTGGCATCTCTGTGCGGGGTGGACTATGGCCCACTGTGACAGCTGTGTGTGCATTTAAGATAGAAAAGTGCTGGGAGAGTTGCCCTCTAAATCTGAGGGGAGACAGAGTGGTGTCAACAAGGCCTCAGAAACACCATTCCACAGATTCTGGGACACTAGATGTATGTGTGTGTGTGTGTGTGTGTGTGTGTGTGTGTGTGTGTGTGTGTGTGTGTGTGTGTGTGTGTGTGTGTGTGTGTGTGTGTGTGTGTGTA